CTATGAATAATCAGAACTTGAGAATGTACCCAGTCTGACTCTAGGAAAACTCAAAATCACCCAGGAGGAAATGGAATGCATGAAGATTCACATTCCTAGGCATTAGTGGGCTGACATGGACTGGCATTGGCCATTCTGAATCAGAAAGTCAATGACAAACTCTCTAGGAACGATGTAGTCATCATCAAAATGGACATTTCAAGATCTGTCTTAAAGAACAACATTGTCTGTGATTGGATAAACATTGTATAGGAAATCCAGTTAATACAACTATTATTCAAATTTATGCACCAATTGAAGAATTCGGTTTCAGATCATTAACACTATTGAAATTAAACTAAATTATAATAAAGGACACCCATATCTTGCTATTCCTTAAGTAGGGTGATATATAAGGGGGTAAATCCCCCAAAATGGATTTTCTTTTTCAAAGCTATGTATTTAAATATTTTTACAAAACAACCTTATCACCTTCAAAGTACTCCCCATTGCATTACACATTTGTCAAATCTGTGATTCCATTCTTGGAAACATTTTTCAAACTCATCTGGATGGCTGACAGCACCTCTTCTATGTCATCAAATCACTGTCCTTTCATGTCCCTCTTCATTTGCAGAAGCTAAAAGAAGTCACACAGAGTGAGGTCAGGTGAGTGAGGTGCATGGGACAAGATACCCATGCTGTTTTTCGCCCAAAACTGGAGCACTGAGATGGCCTCATGAGCAGGTGCATTGTTTTGTCACAAAACCAGTCTCCCATCTGCCACAAATCAGGCCTTTTTTTATTGCATACTGTTACACAATCTTCTCACAACCTCTAAACAGAAAGCTTGATTAATAGTCTGGCCTGGTGGAATGGACTCCAAATGCACTATCCCCCTCACATATAACACAAAGCAAAACAAAAAATGAGCATCGTCTTTATCTTAATCTTTGATTTCACTTAATGAGCTTTTTTTAGGTGAGGTGACAATGGGATCTTCCAATGATGATGTTTGCCTTCAGGGTCCTAAGAATAGTACTATGTCTCATCACCAGTAATGACCTTGGGTGGGTGGGGGGGGAGTCTGGGTCACTTTTGAGTTGTTCTTTCAAAGCACGGCATGTTTCCACTCCATGTTCTTTTTCCTGGTCGGTCAGAACCTGAGGCACCAAGTTGAAGCAACCCTTCTCATTCCCAAATCTTCTGTTAAAATGCCCCGAACCGAGCTCCAAGATAGTCCAGATAACGTTCCCATTTCTTCAATGGTCCATCGTCAGTCTTTGAGCACAAGTGCACACATTTTGTCAACATCTTGGTTCATCAGGAAGCTGACAGATGTCCAGAATGAGGTTTGTCACTAATCGACATTTCACCTTTTTTGGAATGAGAAAACCTCTTGTCCACGTGAGTTTTACCCAAAAAAGTGGTCCTTGTAAGCTGTGTTCAACATCAGCAGTTTCTGTGGCATTTTTCACCCACGCAGGAAACAAATATTCCCTGTGACCAAAGAAAACCTTCCTGGTAGACGCCAATGGGTGCACTAAATCAGAGAGAGTTGCTTGATGCTGCCTAGCAGGAAAATTGCGTCCTATGAAAGCTCTGCCCAGCTGAGCTTTTTTTCTGTTTTTGTTTTTGAGTATCCCCTTGTATATGAATTAAATTGCTGATAAATAAATTGTACAACATGTTTTTATGTATCTAATCAGCATGGATATACTCCAGGTACCAAGTGAACTAATGATTAGTTTTATTTTCATTTTTCAAATCATTAAGTTATTAGCTAAGACAAACTTTGTAACTGTTCAACATTATGCTTTACATTTCACATACAAGGGAGTTTCAAACAGTTCCTGGAAACATTCCATCAGCTTTTAGTTCAATTTTTCCACGAGTTTATTGAAGCACTGTGCCTATTCTTGATATGCTTAAACAAAATGTTTCAAGAAAATCTAAGAAAGATTCTGGGGCTGTATAGGCAATATTGTATGCGAGAAACCACACAGTTTAAGCAATGCCATTACAAAGAAATAATTTACTTTTGAACTTGCAAAATAAATGGGATGTGTTTTTTGACTTTTAAAAATCTGGTATGAAAGGCTGTACGATTTGGTGAGTCTCCTTAGAAAGGTGGTTCTCCAATAGTTGGGGAGGTCTTCGGAAGTGCACTGACCTGAGGATAGGATTCTCTTCTGTGTACTGCCAACTTCGTTCGGGGTGACAACTAACTGCAGATGGCACAGAAACACCCAGTGAATGAACAAGTGGGCTCTGCCATCTACCTGGAATCAGCCAGGCCTTCTGCCCACCTCTGCCACCCACTGGAGGGGGATACTGTCTTTAGTTTGTCCCAGGGTACCATAGAAGCCAATGGCAGACAGGTGCAGTTATGGGGACTGAAGGATATGGCAGGGAACACATTTACTCTGCTGTCACTCGCTGCTGCGAAGTCAGGTCTGACTCAGGGCAACCCTCTAGGCCCAAGCTGAACTACCTGTGGGAGTTTCTGAGACTGTAAACCTTTACAGAGGTAGAAAGCCTCCTCTTTCTCCTGGGGAGAAGCTAGTAGTTTTGAACTGCCAACCTTCTGGTTAGCAGCCCAATGTGGAAGCATTGATATCATGTACTTGCTTCTGGGTCAGTGTTCATCCTCCCTTTCTGCTTGCCAGAAGGGAAGGCAGGGTTATCTCTGACCCAGGATCCTGGTGGTCTGCTGGACAGTTCTCCAGCTGGTGCACCAAGACCTGTTTATATTCCTTCTTGTTTTAGTGCCTTCTCTGTGACTTTGGTCAAGACACCTGCCCCTTAGCTTTCTCCTTTGTAAAAGATGGAGTTGTGTAAGCATACCATTTCTTCTGTTGCGATGTTAGTTGCCCTCAAATCAGCTCAGGGAAATTCAAGTCAGCCTTTCTGAGCCCAATGGTGGCTATTGTGCCAATCCAGCTTATTGAGCACTTCCCTCATTTCCATCGACCCTCTATCTCAGTGGTTCTCAACCTGTGGGTCGTGACCCCTTTGCGGGTCAAATGACTCTTTCACAGACAGGGGTTGCTTGATTCGTAGCAGTAGCAACATGACAGTGATGAAGTAGCAACGAAAATAATGTTATGGTTGGGGGGTCACCACCACATGAGGAACTGTATGAAAGGGTCGCGGCATGAGGAAGGTGGAGAACCACTGCTCTATATACTCTCGGAAGCAGGACCTCTTTTCCTAGCGATATGCCTTTCGGGATGTTGTGCCCAAAGTCAGGAAGCTGAAGTCTCGCTGTTCTCACGTCAAAGGAGCCTTCAGGGTATAATGTTACTTTTAGTGCCTGCATGTTGTGATTCTACTTTCAAGATACTTCTGTGTGCACAGTAAAAGGAAAGTCTTAGGTTTATTTTAAGGGGTTCTTATTTTTCTCTCTATGGCTGCCATGTCTCTCCCTCTTTATGCCAACACATACCTCCCTCCCACCCCCCCACCCCCATCGCCACCACCGCTACCACCAAACCAGACGTGCCCAAAGTCCCTGCATATTAAACATTGGTTCTGCCTGCGTTCCTGCCGGCATGCTGGGCGGGAGTGGCTTTGGGGAGGGCAGTTCATCCTCTGAAGAAGGGGTGTCTCGGGGCAGCATCTCAGGCTGATTGAGCACCTGTGTTGGTGGCCACGTGGCACTTAGAAGGGGCGAAGTGGTAGACTCGGCATAGAGGGGGAGAAAACATGACCGAAGGTTTCCCTGTCCCGGGCCGACCGTGTGCTGGCTTCGAGCAGCTGCACACGTCATCTTCCTGTCTCTGGGCCTGGCACCGGCCCACGGAAAGCCACAAGGTGCGTGCAATACTTAAGATTCTTTTCGGCTAATCAGATGGAGCCAGCCGTCTTAAGCAGATATGTAACATCAGACCCGCAATTACTGAGTCAGTCGGCCGCTCGGCAAAATGTGTTGCTGCTAATTAAACTTGTTGCATTTGAATGGCTTTCTTTGGCGATGTACTGTCTGCCCAGAAACTGTGGTGCACAATGAAAGAAACCACTTTCCTCCTACCGAGGAGGCCCCAAACTGCAGATGGCCGCCCTGTCTGCGGAGCCCTGGCCACAAGATCCGTCTTTTGTGCCGGAGAAAGAAGGTGATTTGAATGTTTGAACCCCCCACAGGAAGCTTGTCTCAAAATGAACATTTCGCCAAATAAAGACTAATTAGGGCCTAAATTAATTAGAAGGTGTGGTTTGAAAAGATGTTGATGAGAAGAGTCTGTCATTTTAGACAAATGGAATAGAGCTAAATAAATTAGTCCTCATTAATATCGCATTGTTGTGCGAGCAGCTCTCTTTTATTGCATTCATTAGAAAGCGCCCCTTGAAATAAGCCTTTGCTGCCCATTATGGATGCAGCCCTCATTTCCCTATGCCTTGCACATGGCGCCTGCATTAAAGATATTTCCACAAATCCTCATGGCTTCAGCAAATTAATATTTATATTTTCTGGGTGTTCTGTTTTTCATCTGGAAAACAGGCCCTGAATGTTATTGACTTTTTTTGTCACTGAAGGCTCTGAAGCAAGCGTCACATCAAAAAACCGTGAACGCCAAGGGAAGGAAGTGACAAAAAGCTAGGAAATGGGGCTGTCGGGGTGGGCAGGCGAGGCAGGGACAGGAAAAATAAAATAAAAGCCTTCAAAGTGTCCCGGATTAATACATTCTTTCCTCTCCACCTTTATATTTGTATTTTTCACGATCCGCTTAAAAGAATTTTTTTTTTAATTTAAATAAACCATGCCTTACTGGTGCTTGTGAATTCTAATGGCTCTGTGAGGACTTTTTCAAGCCGTGTTCCAAAGCCTCACTGCCGTGCATAATCAGAATGCATTGTAAGTATATGTACGACGGAGCTTCAGAAGTTTGTGGGAACATTCCATTATCTTTTAATTTCATTTTCCCACCAATCTTTTGAAGCCCCTTCGTCTAAGCATGTCTCTGCCCTCGGAGAGTGGAATGTCACTTTCTTTCTTTTCTCTCCTTCCGCTCTTCTTACAGACGGGGTATTTGGAAGATGCCAGAGGAGTCCAGCGATAGAGATATACCAGTATGACGTTTCCCCTGCTGTCCAGAAGCATCTGAGAGCCACCTTGCAGAAGCTCTCCCGTGCAGGTACCATGCATCCCAGGGCTTGGTGATCCCTGGGGTGCTCCTCCGAAATTGGGTACTCAGCTAAGGAATGCCTTTCTTCTTAAGTAGATCCACAGGGCTTCCGAGGGAGCCTGGAAGTGGCCTCTGTCCTGAGTCCTGTGGGCTCAGTTAGGTAGCACGGTGGCAGGAAGAAGTAACCTGTAACCAGAGTGTTTTGTTTATGAAAGGTTTTCACACTGGCTCTCCTGATCCTGGGCTGGAAGTTTGGTGGCTGCGGTTTAGTGGTTCTTTTATATGAGGAAATCACCGCTGTCAAGTTGAGTCCAGCTCATCATGACCTTATGGGACAGGGTAGAACTGGCCTTATGGGTTTCTGGGACTATAACTCTTTTTATAATCATTGTATTGGGGGCTCGTACAACTCTTATCACAATCCATACAGCC